GTAATGGAACATAAACGAATTATCTGTGATATTAACTCTGGTTATATATGTATATTAAGATGTTCTGGTCATCTATCCTACTTGTGTTGTATTATTGTGCGTATTTAATGGCCCGGAAGTTGGGGCGTTACATAGGCTATCTATACTATATATTAAGCAAAATGGGGTTTTTAATCCCAACCCTTGTGGGAGCTCCAATCTCCCAATCTAAATTTCCTGATTTAAAAAAAAAAAGAAATCTTAGCATTTATTAAATTCTCTCAACTCCCAAGTCTTACCCTCATAATAACACTTTAATGCATTAAGAATAAGCATAAAAAAAATTCTTTGAAATCCAACACATATGAATTTCTTGAAAATGCCCAACACATATAATTGTTATGCCTCATAATAACACTTTAATGCATTAAAAACAAACATAAAAAAAATTTCTTGAAAAATCCAACACATATGATTATTATCAAAATATTAAATTTTAATATAATATAATAAAAAAAAGACATTTAATTCCTTGAAAAGTCCAACACATATGATTATTATTAAAATATTAAACTTTAATATAATATAAAAAAGGAAAAAAAAGGACATTTAAAAAAAATTTAAAAATCACAATTCACATATATATATATAATTGCAAACACAATCCGTGCATAGCACGGGTGATATGCTAGTATCTATACTATATATTAAGCAAAAATGGGTTTTTAACCCCCAATGCCTGTGAGAATTTCAATATCTCAATCTGAATTTTCTATATTTTTTATTTTTTATTTAAAAAAAATCTCAGCATTTATTGATTTGGTCAAAATCTCCTGATCAGCATTTATTAAATTTTTTCAATCCACATGTTTTTCTACATGCCTGCATTTATTGATTTGGTCAAAATTCCCTAATCAGCATTTAAAATCCTATCATATAAATAATTATAGATACAATCTATATATAGTTACTTCAGTACCATTTTCAACTTCTCCCATACACTATGGTCAGTGATAAAGATTGTTAAATTATTTTTATAAAAACTATTAAAAAACATAATTTATATATTAAAAAAATCTAAAACAAATATAAAATATCTATAATTATCCCGTGCATAGCACGGGTGATAAGCTAGTATTATATAAGGAAAATGGGGTTTTTAACCCACAAGATTTGTGGGAGCTTCAATCTCTCAATCATAATTTCTTAATTTTTTGATTTTAAAAAAAAATGTCAGTATTTATTGAATTATCCCAAATCTTTTTGACTTCTCCCATACACACACCCTTTTATTGAATTCTCCCAAATCTTTTTAACTTCTCCCATACACACACTTTTTAACTTTTCACATACCTATTGCAGCCTTCCTCACTTTTACCATACCTATTGGACCCTTTCAACTTCTTCACTTCACTTTTTTATTTAAACTTTTTTTTTTTTATTATGGTTCTTTAAACTAATTACCAACAGCACTTCCAGCTTTCTCCTTTTACCGGCAGCACTTCCAACTTCTCTCACGTATGTAAAACATGTGATTGAAGTTAGCAATTTTTTTTTTTGTGTACTATTTTAATGGTTCTTTTGATTGAAGTTATTTCCTTTTGTGATTTGTAAAAAAAATAAATTATAATTTGATTTTTTAATATGATTGAAGTTAGATAAACATAAACACTCACAAAGAGAAATGTGGTGTGATTGTAATTAGTTCAATGGTTCTTTTTTTTTAATGTGATTGTATTGTAATTAGTTTAATGGTTCTTTTTTTTCATTTATTTTCTTTTTATTATAGGTAAAATGTGATGTGATTGTATGTAACGCCCTAAAAAAAAAGTGAATAATCCAACCCATGAGATGCGTGAACATAACAGAAGATGTTATACTTTCATTCATCAGAGTTTATATTACAAGAGATATTACATGCATTATACTTTCATAAATGTTCATTTTGAAACTACAGCATGTAACACTAAGTGATTACAACAAAATAAACGCGCTACGGGCCACAGGCTACGGGCTTACATCTTTCCAAGATATCACTTGGTTACAACAAAAGAGTCCTAAGCTCTATACATTTAAAGCCCTTGGCTTGAATTAACATTTAAACACAAAAGTAACAAAACAAAGCCTCCAACT